ATATATATATATTTGTTGTTAAGTACCGTGGAATCGGTTCCGACTCATAGTGATCCTACAAAGGGTTTCTGAGGCTGTAAACCTTTATGGGAGCAGACTGCCTCATCTTTCTCCCGCGGAAGCGCTGGTAGTTTCAAACTGCCAACCTTGAGGTTAGCAGCCCGATTTGTAACCACTACGCTACCAGAGCTCCTTATATAACATGTTATATATACATATATACTATGTCATTCTGTGTCTGGTAGTACTACCATTTTATCTATAAAATACATGAAATACACATGTTGCATGCAGAAAGCTACTATTTTTGCTATGTTCTCTGATCAAGATTTCTGAACTCTATTATGGTTTTATAGGAAAAGCACTGGACTGTTAATTGCAGGGTCAGCAGTTCAAATCTACCAGGTACTCTTCAGAAACCCTATACAGGGTTGCTATGAGTTGGAATCCACTTGATGGCACTTAACAATCATAACCTTACAGGACCATTATGTATATGTGGTCCTACAGTGGACGTTATAAGGCACATGATTGTATTTTGAACATACCATCCCCTTAACTTTATTAACAAAAGAGGGATATTATAAAAGTTGAAAAATCAGAATTCAACCTGAGTAATTGCAGACTAACAATGTAATCTATGGCAAAAAAAAACCCCCACCAAAACGAAACTATGAGTTGAAATTGACTCAGTGGCAGTGGGTTTGTTTTTTGTTTTGATGTAATCTGAGGTTTAAGAACTATCCTCTGATGTTTCTAAGAAAGATAAAGATTTTTGGTGTCTTTATATCCTTGAAATACAAGAGAAAAAGGAAGAAGAAACTTTTCTTAAGTTTAAGCCAATATTTACTATTAATTTATAGAACAATCTTGTGAGCTACTTTACACATCTATACAATAAAAGCCAAATATATTGGGCTCAGAGAGAAACAAGACCAATTTTAGACTAATGCTGGTTTACTTCCACTAGTTTGCTCATACAAACTACCTATCATTATTAGATTTCTGAAGCATAAGAGCTAACTTAGATATTATTTATAATATATGAAATCTATCAATCAAAATATAATTCAATTAAAACTGTATTTATAATTGTACTAATAACAATAAATAATTTACAGAGCTTCTATCATATTAAATCATTAGAAAAAAGTGATTTTTGGTGTTTTTTTTTTAATTATTACTGATTACATTTAAAATCATAAAATTACATGACTGCTTTGGGTTGTTTTCCTTTTACTATAACTAAAAATACAAACACTACTACTCAAAACATATTCTGATAGATGCTAAAATAGTTTATGGGCGTCCTGATATGGCACTGTAGGATAAGTTCTGGCCTGCTAACCACAAGGTCGGTGTTTAAAAAAACCCACCAGCCGCTCCTCAAAAAGCCTATGCATTGACTCGATAGCACTTAACAAAACAGTTATAGTTCAAAAGTAAATAATTCTACTTTATCCTTTAGTTATATTTAAGTGTTGTATTGCAAACGACGGAGTCCTGGTGCGGTGCTGTGGGTTAATGCGCCAGACTGCAAAGTCGTCTGAACTGCAAGGTCCGCGGTTCAAGCTCACCAGCCGCTTCTCAGAAACCCTATACAGGGTCGCTATGGGTCAGAATCGACTTGACAGCACCTCACAACAACTGCAAACAGGACAAGACAAAACTAAAACAAACCAGCAGATATTACTAGCCAAAGTCCAAGTATATGATTAACTCCTCTACAAAGCAATCATTTCACTTTAGCAAATAAATTTTCATGCCTGAGGCTCTATGGTACATTGGCATATTTAATATCTAAAGTTTTGGTGCTTAGTATATTTAACAGTGAACATATAAAACCTCTACTGTATAAGCATAGCAATATGAAATATTAATTTGTTACTATTTGTGTGTCTCTATAGTAAAATCCTAAAGCCTCACATATTTAATGATGTAAATGTTTGATGACCCACTTAGTTATAAAACTACTTTCCCATTTGGGAAGTAATTAACAGATGAGCTACAAGCTCTAGCTGATAT